CATGAAATTAGACATTGACAGTCAAAACGCGCCATCGGAGAAGCGCCAACTAAACGTCAGTTTCAGTCAATGATTTTGGCGGTCCAAAACGGTTTATAAAAAATATTTTCAGCAGTCAAAATTTTGGTGCATCACTAGTTTTTAAGTCAATATACTTGAAAGTGGGCTATATATCGAACTATGTAATACAATTTTCTGTTGTAATATCATAGCTAGCATGCAAGTTTGTAAGGTAGTCCAGTCTGGATCCTCAAGCCTTCATTTGTGCTGAACATTTCAGTCACTTTAAAAGGGTTCAGTTCACCTTACAGTTTGTTTGGAATATTCGTATATGATCTAAAATTTGTGTGAACCACTCTCAGTGTGTGAAAACACTTAAGAGATAGAATTAAACTTTTCACTGCTCCTCTGTGGCTTTAAACAAACCATGAGAGCAACTTCTTAAATGAGACTAACTCAGCAATGAACCTATTGCTGATGCTTTTCCATTCAAAGTGACAGCTTTCAAATTCAAATTATTGTAGTGTCTCTGAGCCCCTGAGAAAGAGGGGTTCAGGTAATAATATGGATAATAGCATGTCTATGTATAGTACACAGAATAAATATATCATTAGTGTTCTGCACAGTGTGCACAGTATGCGCAGTCCATTACCTATTTTGCAAAGCCACCTGACTCTAAAAACAAATCATGACCAGTCTCAGCTACAATCTACTACAGTCTGACACACAAGAACGTTGATGAAGCAAAGTCTGCCTCTGCTTTTATGCAACACCGTACAATCTGACAAGCAAAAATCATAAAAAGGCAGGGGGAAAATGGCATGCACCAGAATTTAATTAGTTCCTCCTTCTCCTATAAATGTAACATCGTCTGAATATGTAATATGGAGTTCACACTCAATGAAGTGGGGAATCACTTTTATTCAGAGGCCCAAACTTGAGCAAAATTTTGAGTTTGGTGCATTACTTTTCTTATTTATATGTAAATCAATGAGATCTCAATAACAGTATAGCAGTTACTACTTAAACTGCATATTATTAGTAAGCATTAGTAAGATATTTAAACGGTTAGATTTATAACCAAAGCTCTGTGGTTTTTAATGTGGGGGGGACAAGACATATAATGCAATGAAAAGAGAGATTGACAAAATCATTCCTCAAAAGCCTGGTGGACCATATTTGAACATGATTTTTCAAAGAAATATTGGATAATCAAGTTCAGCACGTGATAATCGCAATATAAAAGTTAGTTTACGGACGTATTTAGAATTGTACTAAAAGGCCTTTTAAGTGACGTGACATGTGGCCAAGTATGGTGACCCATATTCAGAATTAGTGCTCTGCATTTATCATCCAAAGTGCACACACCCCGTGAACACACACCCGGAGCAGTGGGCAGCCATTTTTGCTGCGGCGCCCGGGAGCAGTAGGGGGTTCGGTGCCTTGCTCAAGGGCACCTCAGTCGTGGTATTGAAGGTGGGTGACCCCCCACCTACAATCCCTGCCGGTACGAGACTCGAACCTGCAACCTTTGGGTCACGAGCCCGACTCTCTAACCATTAGGCCACGACTTCCCCATAATTGCTAAAAGGTATGAACTACGGATCAGATGGCAGAAAGCATGCAGTAGATTGAGTAAAACCGGTTTTTCAGTAAAGTTTTGATCATGTTGACAGCTTAGAGGCCAGAGAAATTCATGCATCAAATGTCATACAGTAGAATTTAAAAAATCTGTTTTTGTTTGTGGTTTTGTCAACACTATATGGCACTTCTTCCTTCATCAAAGCTCGGAATGAAAAGACGTGCAAGAATGTGTCATTTCCCTCACTACAAGTGTTTTAAAAACAACTATTTCTTTCGACGGTTAAAGAGTTAAATGAGTGCAATAAGGGATAGTGAACATCACTTCGTTTTGTGTGCAGACGTGCGCTTTCCAGATGACCTGCTGCTTCCTTCGGCATCTGTGCATGTAAACGTGATCATGTGCTGTGAATGAGAGCAGCGTGGAGCACCTGTAGATTGTGCACAGCTCGAGACACGTAAAGTCCTGTTTCCTCTACATCCGCTTTCCACAACACAGGAAGAGCTCTCCGGCAGATCCTTATGAACGCACACACACACACACAGCGAGAGAGCACCGGGCAGCTCTCTACTGACCCAAACCTCGCGGCTAAATGTGGAAATCAATGCAGCGTAGCACACTTAAATCGCCATTTAGAGATCAACAGTGTTGGGGGTAACTCATTACAAGTAATGCGAATTACGTAATCAGATTACTTTTTTCAAGTAACTAGTAAAGTAACGCATTACTTTTTGATTTACAAGAGAATACCCGAGTTACTTTTTCAGATAACTTATAAGTTACTTTTTTTTTTCCAATTTATTGATTGACAGCTCTCCTGTCCCAATGTTGAGAGAAATCAGATTTTGTTACTGTAGTTCTAAAATAAATATGAATAAGCATTATCTCGCTCACAAAAAAAAAACTGATTCGGTATTCCTCAAAATGAATAAAAATAATGCAACTCAGAATATGACACAAACCCGCAATAATTAAATGTTAAACAACACAGATATGCTTTATGTATTTAATCCCATTCTATTAACCAATGTCTTTGCTTCTGACCTTCGATGATCCAGTTCAACCGTACTAATAAGCACAAATTACTCTAGAGTCTAGACAAACATTTGAGTGTCTTTTTTTATTGCTGAAGTGTGTTGAAATCTCTTCTTCTGCATTCTACAGTACGGCCGTAAATCTACTTTCCCTTCAGCCTGAGGTTATTCATTTCACGTTTGGTGTGGAAAGGCTTTTATATTTGCCAAAAATAGAACTTTTTTATTTTAAAAACAAACAAGCAAGCCCTGTCCAGATTTAAAAAGTAACGCAAAAGTAACGTAACGCATTACTTTCCATAAAACGTAATACGACGAGTTACTTTTTTATGGAGTAACACAATATTGTAATGCATTACTTTTAAAAGTAACTTTCCCCAACACTTGTGATCAAGTGATCAATGTTGGAAACAAATAGTAACAAGCAACCGCTTGAGTCACCGCGCGCTGTTTACATGTACATGCGACAAATACACAAATACAGTACGTGAATGGTGCTAAAACACTCATTTATCAAATAAAAGACACATTATACGGCATGCTATTATGAAAACATTAGCATGAGCCGTGTTGTACATACATATTGAGCAATGGCAATTCTTTTAAACCTCCCGTTTACACAAGCACGTACTAGCTACTTAATTCATAAGCACAAACAGCAACAGCCAGTGCTGTTCCCTGCTAAAACCGACACATACTTCCTATTGATACCGATTATAGTACGTCAAAGAAAGTGAAATCCATCTGCTAATCTCTTGAACCACAGCAGCAGCGGTATTGCTTGTTGCTAACGGCCTAAATAAATCACAACACTCCTCCACACACACACACACACACACACCGCAACTTACCAGACTTGTCCTGGTCGTATCCCACCATTCCATTCTGCCGCGACCTCCCCTGGGCGCTTCAGCGCTTTCACTAAAAGAGTGCTTTTTCCTCCTAAAAGAGCAAATTCGCAAATTCT